TGTTGCAAATCAAGTAAATGTTACTGCTTATGTTTAGCAGATATATAGTTTGAAGTTTACAAACTTTAATGGAACTCCAGTTTCCAAACTGGAATCATTCCAGTGTCTTTCTGAAACTCAATGTTTCATCTTGCTTGCAGAGGTATGAGCAGGTTTGCAATTATTCAAATACACAAAGGACACAAATGACTGTTTTCTTAGTATTTACCCAACCAAAATCAACACTCATTTAAATATTTTAAGCAAAGATTTTGTATAAACTTTCATTGCAAAACATTAGGAAATACTTTTATAGCAAGTTTACCAAAAGTACTAGAATTCTAGAAAGACTTCTATAGCCCTTAGCAAAGAAATATTTAACATCCTTTCTTGTGTGTTACTGTCAAGAGATTTTCAATAATTATTTACCTAACTTCCTTAGAGGAGAGCAAGACGCTGGGGAGGAAAATTTAGGTAAGATGTTTTGAAAGTTTGTCTGGTGCAAAATGAAAGATATACACATGATAAAAGAACAAAGAAAAACAAAACAGAATACTGAGACTATTTTCAGGCTCCAGGTCAATTTACCCCTTTGCCAATTTATACCTCGATCCATACAGGAGGTGCCATTTTGGCCCAACTCAGTCACCTGAGCACACTCAGCACACCATTTCATTTACACAACCATTGGGTATCAGGTTATACTTCTAGGTAGTTAAATGTTCTTGCAAATTATAAAGAGAATTTTACATTTATTTGAATGTATTTATCTATTTTCCGAGGACTTAAAGTAGTGGGGATCAGAACTAGGTTTAATAGAAACCTAGTTCTGACCCCCATTTGGGCTTGCTGATTGAAGTATCATTATGTTTCAATATTTTGATCAAATCAAAGTAGACTGCTTCATGTAGACAGATAATTGCATTTTCTTACAGTAGATTAGGACTAGTCTTTGATTATGATTTCAAGTCTAAAGTGACTAAAGTAGTTGTGAATAGTCCCATGATGGGTAGAAATGAATGCATAGTATGAAATGTCCTGTGGTAGATACCCCGTCCTTATATGAAAGGACCAAAAGTACACATTATGCAAAGGCAAAGAGATGAATAGACCTGCACCCTCATTGTTGACATGGACTCTCTCTTTCACTTTCCAAAACAGCTCACACACAGCAACCTCACACAAACCAAACACTACATGATACAGAACATATAAATTGTACAAATCTTCAGGTGAAATTAAAGTATCAAATAATTGCAAAAATAAATGTCTGATATAAAATTGTTTTCAATCTATCCAGAAGGTTGATGAAATGCTGTGGGTAGTTGGCCAAATCAATATCCTCTCAACTTATCAAGTTTTTTTTTGTTTTGTTTTTTACTCAGCATTTCTGCCTCTATTGTTATTGCACAATTTCTTTTCTTATTAATTGCTGTACTTGGGTGAATTAGCAGCTGACAGACCCAACTCATTTCAGGAAAATATACTGTTATCTTTTTAACACGATGAAAACAAACCAATTGGTTTCCACTCTGAGCTGGTAACAAAGCAAAAAAAAAAAAAAAACAAAGCAAGAATTTTCCATTTCCTCTAAACTATTTCACTCACACTTCCTGCCAGAGAGTTTTTGTTTGCACACAGAAAATTCTAAGCTTCTTCAGTTGACTTCATTACACACATTTTTTGCAGTTTTTGGACTCTATTTCCAAAATGTATTTATGATACTCTTGTGTAAGTTATACATAGCTTGAGGAAATTCGTGCCTTTTTCAGGGAAAACCTAAGAGCAAGATCTGAATTTGAATGGAAACCTTACTGCAATACGACTGCTTGTTTGACAATAAATAAAGGAGTTTCTCTGAATGCTGGGAATACATTTCTGTTTATTGGATAACTAAATGCCGTGACTTCATTTGAGGTTTTTTTTTTTTTTTAATTTGTATGTATGGATATCAAGACAAGTTAATGACCCTAGTTTATAAACTGTCTGGCCAAAAAAAATCACATACTCTGATATTTGGTCGGATCGTCTTTAGCTTTGATTGCAGCACATATCCACTGCGGCATTGTTTCGATAAGCTTCTGCAATGTGACAAGATTTATTTCTATCCAGTGTTACAATATTTTTTTCACCAAGATCTTGCATTGATGATGGCTGTGCAAAGCCTTCTTCAGCACATCTCAATGGGATGGACTCTGTTGTGGCCAATCTATGTGTGAAAATTATGTCTCATGCTCCCTGAACTATTCTTTCACAATTCGACCCCCATAAATCCTGGCATTACCTTCTTGGAATATGCCCCTCCCATCAGGGGTGATAGAATAACCTGGTCATTCAGTATATTCAGGTAGTCAGCTGACTTCCTTCTGTGAACACATGCTGTTGCTGAACCTGGACCTGACCAACTGCAGCAACTCCAGATCGTAGCACTGCCCCCACAGGCTTGTACAGTAATTACTAGGCATGATGGGTAATCTGATGCATCCATCACTCTGGAACTCTGAGTAAATTTGGACTCATCAGACCACATGACCTTCTTCCATTGCTCCAGAGTCCAATCTTTATGCTCCCTAGCAGATTGAAGCCTTTTTTTCCAGTTAGCTTCACTGATCAGTGGTTTTCTTAAGGCTATAGATCTGTTCAGACCCAGTCCCTTGACTTCCTTTCACATTCTGCGTGTGGAAATGTTTTTATTTTCACTACATAGGCCGGAGTTGTACTGTTTTTCCTTGATTTCATTTCACCAAAACATTTAAGTGATCGCCGATCACAATCATTCAGGATTTTTTTCCAGCCACATTTCTTCCTTGAAAACAATTGGTCTCCATTTTCCTTCCAGTTTTTAATAATGCGTTGGAAAGTTCTTAACACAGTTTCAGTAGTTTAAGAAAACTCCTTAGATGTTTTCTCTGCTTGATGCATGATTTTACCCTTCTCAAAACAGTCGTCTTTTCCATGACCACAGGATGTGTCTTTAGACATGGTTGTTTAAGAAATGAAAGCTAAATGTAAATTCAAACAGGAAAACTCTTTAGCCTCACCTGTGTCATCTAATCGCAGGTGGATGACACAAGTCATCCACCTGATGGGCTGTTGTTCATACATCACAGCCTATCAGCATAGAACCACGCCTGGTCATAGCCAGTCATCATTCAGTCATCCGTTTATAAGGATCTTCATCCATGACACCATCTGCTTTCCAGCCATGCTCAACCCACCTCCACCCCTTCTCCACCTTTCTGCTCCTGGTTCCTTCAGGCTACCTCCACCACCAGTGTATGAGCCCCCGGGGGAAGACGTCTCAAATCATCATCGCTAATGCTCTTCCAAGCTTATCGCAGTTCACAGTACAATGTCTTCTGTCGGGGTCCGAGCGCCAAGGAACTTTAATTCATTTAAGTCAATAAAACTTTGTATTTGCTATTTTTCTCTTTGTGAGTCACTCCAGGTTGAAATGAGAAGCAACTCATTGCACCAGTAAATAACTTGTTGCCAGCTGAAACATAATTGCCAATGGAGTAATTATCCAATAGGAGGCTCGTACCTGTTTGCTTAGTTAGATCCAGGTGGTGACTGTTTTTTTTTTGTTTTTTTTGGCCAGCAGTGTACTTTGGCAGTAAAACTGAAGGGCTGGAAAAATATTTGAACTAGAAGTTTCAAATGTTAATACTATGCCAGCTTTGTGACATAGATTTGCCTAAAATATTGCCTACACCTGTGTGTTTGATCTTAATTCAGGGTCTTTTTTATGTAACTTGCATAACATATATTATTGTTATTATTGTACTCAAGTTATTAATCCCAGTTCCTGACAAATACATATAAAGTCAAATAAACAAACAGAAAAGCTGTGGTGGGAATATTCCCTTCAGAAATGCATGGAACAGGTTAATACCATAGATATCAGGGTCAGACAGGAAGATCCACATAACGGGACAGCAGACACTTTCAGCTCAGACTCTCAGAATCAGTGATAGCACAGTTTAGTTTAAAATAATATGTTTGCATCCGGTTACTGGCACAGGCACACACAGCTGCCATTGTATAGTCCAAAGTTTGAGTAAAAGCTACAAGAAGGGAAATAGGAAGAACTGCTGTCGGGAGTAAGTAAAAAGGCAGCCATATTGGAAATGAGTAACAGAAGAAGGTACTAGAATATCCTAATATACCAGAACATATATTTGCATTTTTTAAAAGGGTTTTCATGTATGATGTAGCTATCTTTTTTGTAGCAAGCACAGAATTTTTTGAGTATAGGGATCTTACTACATCCAAAAATGAATGATTTGTCAGTACAGTCTGTGGCATTTAAACACAGTTTAAAGTAAACACACTTAAATTTTTAGAATTATTATTCATAAGGAGAGATCAGAATGGCTTACAGGAGTCATGCAAAATATTCATGCTGGTAAACAATGTCTTGAAAAGTCATTGTCATTTTTGTTCCTAGAATAGCTTAGCAGAGATGTTTTAATATTGCTGACAACCTGCTGTCTTCACATTCCGGGAGGAGCATGATCTTCAGGATCTCTGTTCCTCTTCATTTGAAAAAAAGGAAACAGAAGTGCTTCTTCATTCATTATGTCTCCAGAAAGTGCTGTTTTCAGTAGGATATGATCTTTTTTCTTATTATTCTAACAGCAAGTCGTGGGGTTCAAGGCAAAATATGCATTTTTTTCTAAAATTACTAAGTGGAAAAATATATAATATTTCACCCACTGACCTATTCTCTGGATTTTATTCATTCCTCTGATTGCATTTTCCTGTTTTAAATTGTTTCAATTCATGCCATGCAACATTTGCTGGAGATGAGGAGCAGCTTCAATGCTGAGTTGAAGAGAAGGTAGTGAAGGTGGTATGGAAAGATATCATAATGTTGGAAAAAGCAAAAATGATCCAGTTAAATCTTAATCCTCAGTGAAAGACTCTTGCTTGTTATGAGAATTTGAATGAGTTCCTGCTTGTACCATCTGATTTGTCCATCCAAGTGCCTGTCTTTGGTTAAATTCCGTCAAAGTTGGTGAAAATGGAGAATATTAGGACTTTAGGGACATGTCATGAACACATTCAAAATGCACTGCAAGATTGGAGAGATGGCTTGTATTTTCTGAAATCTACTAGACTTCAGTGTTTTCTTCTAGGTCCGGTAGCTGAGTACAGATCAGTAGGGAGTGGAGCAGTAGGAAGCTTAGTTCAGTTTTTATTGTCCTCAGTAGAGCTGAACTGATCTAACAGCTACAGAAAAAAAAGATATGACTGGAGATCCTTCAAACAAAATATGTCATCTGTAAAGCAATAATTATATGGAGCTGTGGAAATAGTGACCTCCAGACCCAACACTCATGATATTCATTTGTGAAGCTTCTTCTGTGCTTCGTTTGCTTCAAAAGTGGAGGAAGGATTTGAAGGGCTCATACCTCTTTTCTGTAGAATATGATAATGGAAATAGTGAGAAAGTAAAACTCCGTTTTTTCACCTTGATAATTTTTCAGTTTCTGCACTGAACATATTAGGGAAAAAGTCGAACAGCAGCACTTGAGATATTTACTGTTGTCCTCTTCATGATGAGAAAGTGTTGGTTGAGTTAGAAGCTCAGCACTGCAAGGAAAGATGAGAAAAAAATCTGTCAGCATCCAAAGATTATAAGCAATAATGCTTGATCCTTCAAACACCAGACTATGGTTCACATTGCCATTTTTGTGGATGGGTAGTCATTGACAGTTCAAAAGTCTAATAGTTAATATTTTTTATAAATGATTTAATACATTTTATTGTTTATTGGATTTATTTTTACACAGAATGAATACCATCCAGGTCTGGTGTAAAGAAAGGTCAGGTCACTAGTGATGATGCAGGTGGGTAAAATAATGTTTTGGTTCGTTTTCACTAACATGGTGACTTAAAATGGTTGAGTTGGCAGCACCAGCCTTTACTAATATCAAACAGATTGTGGACTTATAACAGCATTTTATTTTAAAAGTTAAACACTATCAGGAGCATTGGAAAGCAGTGTTGGAGCTATGTTTTCCTAAGGTTTCATATCTATTGGAACAAAAAGCACACAGAAGAATAGAAACCAAAATCTCTAATTGGCCTTGAGTCACAGAGAGCAAATGAAACTAAATGCCTGCAACGGCTCCGTTCTACCTACCAGATTTAGGATGTTTGAAGCAGCTGGTGCAGCCCTCACCAATCAATGTTTCTATGACTCCATCTAATCCTAAATCCACAGTTGACTGGCAAGATGGTCAACTGTCATTTAGACCCAGAGAGCCAAACAGCAGGGGATTTAGGAGAATCAGTGAGCAACATTGCAATTATTTTATCCACCCTCACATAAAGAAGTTTACTGTTTTATTTCCTCTGCTGTTAAACTAACACCCAGTATGAAACCACATAACATGCAAGTCTTTTTGCCAAAAGCAACAATACTAAATTAGATTTGTTTTCTTGCCATATATAGTGAAGACAAATTTACTGGTGCTCCTGATAAAGATGCATGAAAAAGCATGAAAATAAAATATTTTATTTAGAATCTTTAATTGCAGCAGCATAATCTCAACAACAAAAGGAAGAATCCAACCTTTTTCAAAGAGTACATTTGTTTAGTGGTGACAATAATCCTATATTAACATATTAATACTATAATACTATTAATATACATTAATACTTTGTAAAACTTCCTTTTCCAAACAGGAGAAGTAAAATTTTTTCAGAGTGAGGGGTCTCTGTGGTCCAGGTTTCTCCTCCTCAGATTGCCCTGTGTATGAATGTTGCTAGAAATGAACTCGTCTTGCTTTAATATAAATAAGCACACCTTTTAAAAAAAGAATCTTTTTTTTTTTTTTGCTGACACTGATTTTACATTTAACTACTTGTAAATGAAGCAGAAAATAGCTGCATCTTTAGCTGCAAAGTAAAACATTGTAACTGTCAACACATTCACTTATGTTCTCTTGCTCTTGTGTGTGTCTGAGTTCCAGAATAATAAGTAATAAGCAAGTAGGTCATGTAACATGTTTTTAAGGGATTCAGTGTTTTCTTGAGAAAGTAAAACTCATTTTTTTTCCTCTTGGTCTTTCTTTCAGTTTCTACACTGAAAATATTAGAGTAAAAAACAAATAATTGGTTTTAATCAAATGTTAAAACCAATTATTTCTGAACACAGATCCCCTTCCAGTTCCTTCCCTCCCCCCAATAAATGTAATTAAAGGTTGGAATCTTCTTTTTTCTACAGGCTGATATTATGCAACTACGGCAAAATATTAATTTATTTTAAGGCTGTTTCACATCTTTATCTACTTTATTCAGTAACACTCTTTTTAAATTCCTTGACCAAATGACCAAATGAAATGCAAGCCACAGGTCAGTGGCTGCTAGGCTTCAAAGATGCTGCTGGCAAAGAGTCCATTGTGATATTTACAATGCTAAAAATTATGAAAGACATTTTTACTTTGCCACAGGCATTCAGCTTTCAAATAATTCCCCTAAATTTGTGCAAGATTGCAAGAAAGAAAATGGATTCCTCTTAATATGTAGTTTCCAATGTAAAAGTTGTCTCTGTGTGTGGGTGTGTATGTCCTTTGTGTCAGTACAGTAAAATTAGAGACATTAGTACGACACTCCCACAGAAAACCCAGCATGCAAATACACTATAAACAAAGCTTGATTATGACACAGATTACGTCTGGTTAACCCACAACAAGAATTCAAATGCAGAAGTCGTTGAGGAGGCTGCGCAGTTCTCTGATAAAACAATTAGCAATTGGCAATAAAGTTCAATCTATAAAATTGTTAAATTGTCAGAGTTAAATTTTTAAACCAGAGGACTGCAGCCAACCAGGACCAGGTTGAAGTCCAGAAAAAAAGAAAGAAAGAAGTAAAGAAAGAAAGAAACAAACAGTAGTGAACCTCTGTTGGTGTTTCCCACAATTCTTGTTCAGACCTCACAAACAGTTTTAGCTGCATCACATCAGTGATCATTAATTTGATTTTGTTAGGGTTAGTGTTTGCTCACATGACATTCTGCAATCAATCACCCTGCACCTGTGTGAGATGGAAAAAGCTGAAGTGGCGTTTGGAAAGGCAGTTTGGCCCTGATGTGGAACAAACAGAGGCTATCAGAAAGAAAAGGACTATGAAACATAAAACAAAATGAACGGAAAAGAAAGTGTTACAGCGATACACAACCACAAACACAGGGTGAGGACAAACAACACAAACAGTGCACAATCCAACTGTGGAGTTCACATTCTTACATGATGAAGGGAATTTTCCTTTGTTTCTTTCTGTCCTCCATCATTTCATCACACTTTTCTGTCTTGCCCAGAACTTTTCCTTCTCCATCTCCTCTCTTCGATGTTGCTCAGTTGATAGACTACTCAGAACACATCATTTAAAGCACTTACACCTCGTTACCTCTTCAATAACATTTCACTCTATTTTTTTCATCAGCTTATTTTCTTTTCCTGTCTCCTCCTCAGTTAAATCCCCTTTTAAGTCAGTTTTTTCTATTCATATGCAAAAAGTAGTTCATTTAGCCATTTTATGTAAATGCACTATGTGCATAAAAGGCTGGTGTCTCACAAAAGTGATTTTCTATTATTTGGGATGTGAAGGCAAGGGGACGTCACAAGGAGCAAGGAGCCAGGATACATAGTTGAATAGTGAATGTAAAATAGCATTTTGGAGCAAGGTGACCAGAGCATGTGATAGAAACATGCACAAAAGAGTTAATTTCTTCTTCTCTAGTCTTTTTTTCTATACATACAATGCATAAAGTTGGAAAACATTGCAGAAAGGAATCACAAGGAAAGTATTGGAAAATAGATACCTGAGTTGTCAATGAATAAAAAAAAAACAGTGTAATGGAAAGAAGCTCAACAAACTCTAATGTCAAATGAAAACATTTCATAATTTCAGATATTTGACTTCTTAGTTAAATTCTGTTTCTTATACATACTCACTTCTGGAATATGAATTAAAAGTTAAATTACAATTGTGGCAAAATATTAGTGAATAGTCATACACTCATACAGTATTTTCTGCATTAAAATAATATCTTCTGAATTCACTGCAGTTTAAATGAAACCACAGACACCAGGGCATTACAGACTAACAGTTAGAATGATGTGTCCAAACTATAAATGCAGAAACTTTGGTGAGAAGCAGTCTTGGAAAGAGAGAGTTTTCTTTTTTCGCTTGCAGCAGAGGAGTTGAGATAATTATTTTTTTTTTAGTTTCACTGAATTAGTTCTACTTCTGCTTCTACTTGCATATATCTGAAAAATACATAGCTTTCACAACAGCTCTTGAATAGAAAAGCAAATAAAAATGAAGTATCTCAACATCTATAACAAAGCAGCTTCATAGCAGTTACTAGAAATGGCTCCCCTTCCCTTCCTGAAAAAATAATCTGTCCCTCCCTCACCCATCCCCATTACAGTAGTGAGGTTCATCTGTTCCCACCAACATGCATCATTTCAGCCCCTCCTGTTTCCTCCTGCATTCACTGAGATTACAGTAGCTTTGTTCTGCATGCCAACATATGCTATGTTTATGCGTCCAGACGCACACACTCTTACAGCAGTCTAAATGTTTTATATACACTGCTTAAGTTTTAAACTAAAATACCAAGCTTTCTTACATTATTATTCACATATCTGTAATTGCTGCTTGCGTTGGAAGACCATGCAAATTGTCTACATATTTACAGTGTTGTGACAAGCAGAACCCTCAGGTCAAGTGACTGATGCAGTCATAAGGAACATTTGACCGTAAAGAGACAATGAAAAGTGGGAATTGTATATATCTGTCTATAACAAACAATGTATATAAAAAAGTTTATTTTTTTCTCTTATTTAATCATATGATGCAACTGGCTGTGATGCTATTTTAATGAATGCATACAGCATTGGGGGGACCCTGTTTCTGCTTGTAGCTCCATGTTTTCTAATGGAATATTTATTTGTCAGTCAGTGTTGAATTAGTTGCCCTTTCATTTAACTGTCCTCTGCAACAGAGTCTGTAGCTTTTTTAGGTTGTATCATTATAATAGATATGAACTCATTTTCTTCACAAGTTGAAATCACATTGTAGCCGTAGCTCTGATCTCAGTATGCAACTTTAACTGGATTTTAAAGATCTGCATTTTAAATGCATTTAATAAAAGCTCTGCTTTAATAAAAAAATCAAGCTCTTCATTTATCAAATCATCCTAAACTGTGTTCTCAGGTGTCAATAAGGAAGAAATTTGTATTTTTTTAAACTGTTTTCATTAAATTTCATATATATATATATATATATATAGTAAAACCTTATTCTCTCTCTCCCAGAACACCTTAAGAGCATGAGTGATGAATGTAAGAGCAGGAGTCGGGGCAGCTCAGCTTCCTTCCATCACCATTACTTTATGGCCTGTTGCAGAATTTCTGCACAACAATCTTGTGTAAAAAGAGAAACCTTTAGAAGTCTTTATAGAGAAAAATTATGACAAAGATGTTGAGACAGATTAATCCTAATGAATGCCAAAGTAAATGTGAAAACAATTATCTCTTGGTGTCTTTCTTTAAGACTAAAAAAGCAAAAGAAACAAATCC